GTGACGTGTGAGCACCACTGACAGATTCTTCACCCCTATTGGTTGTCGCTCGCGAAATTCGCTGTTTATTTGCATAAAGTTAAACAATTCTTAACTTTTGTCGCTTGACATGCCCACATTCTGTCGCCAACGGTCACTGTCGCTCGTGTCGCCGGAAGTCGCCAGCTCTCCATTGAAAATGAATGGGAGCATGTCACTTTGTCGCTGTGTGTCGCTGGCAGTGTGAACGGGGCTTGAGTCAGTCATCTATTGTCGACAGTGATGTATGAAGCAGAGCTCACACAGAAGTCACTTTCAAACTGAGCAGCTTTCTGTTAGTCAATGCGACAAATTTGTTTGACCGAGTGAACCTGATGCGAAATTTGCTCGAGGAAATCTTTCGCCATCATGCAAAATTACAGACTGCGTGGATTCCTATTGAAATGAATGCCTTTTGCTGGCAAAAATTCAGCGAGCAAGGACAAATGTGATCACACCTTTAGTTTAACTTCATCATCACTACCTTACACACACACACACACACACACACAGGTTTGTTTTTGTGAAAAGTGGGGACATCCCATAGGCGTAATGGTTTTTATACTGTACAGACCGTATATTCTATTGCCCTACCACACACACACACACACACACACACACACACACACAAAAGAAAAGAAAGAAAAGAGGTTTACCATAATGAGAGAACTTAACAGCATTGCCTGGATTCTCTTAGTGCCCTGATGCCTGAGAAAGAAAGGAGATAATTCAAAATCTTTGAGATTATTATATTAGACTAAAACTATGGCATAAAGCCGTCAAAAACATCTCAATTATGTAAACATTACTTGAATTTTTTCCAGTTATTCAGGAGAAGTAAATAGTAATGCAGTACAATACAGAACAAAAAGAGGAATAGTACAAATAAAAACAACTAAACAAAGACACAAATGAAAAAAAAAACAGTGCCTAAAGTTTTTTTTGAATCTGTAACCGCAATATTTCGAGGTCTGATTTGTCTGTTTACACTCACTGAAGACGCACTTTTGACATCCCTGATTACAAGTTATTTGCATGTTGCAAATGTGCATGTGTCAGTTTAACATGCACACTTAAACTTTCTCCAAACACTAAAACTGCAAATAACTTGTTGACGACTGTAGAATCACACACACTGTCCTACCCGATCTTGACGGTGTCCAGCGTGTGACACGGCGTGCCGTAAACAGGAACTTTCCCCATAATGAACATCATCACTTCAGCTCTCTGATAATCAGGAAGATTTCCTCCAAAGAAACCTAGACACGCACACAAATCCATTTTATTGAATTGGTTCAGTATTTGGACATAACAAGAGTTCTTATTTTAGTGAGCATGTCAAGCTGTCACCGATGGTTTGGATGATGGCATTCTGGACGATCCGCTCCTCGCTCTCTTTGGTGCGGGTGGAGGAAAGGCTGCTCGCGGAGTTCCTGCGGGAACCGTCGCCCAGCTCAAAATCCACACTCATACGCAGATGCTTTAGCAGGGTGTTAAACACCTCCAGGACCGTGGGACCTGAGAATTAGCACACAGACAGCACAAAAGTAATTATGCAGAATCGTTCAGATTTTCCTTCAAAAGCAGCACAGAAGATGCTTAAAACATCACATTCTGTCTGGACCTACCGAATAATCACTGTGTGATATTAAAGTGATAGTTCGATGAACATTTTGTCATCATTTACCCACCCTCATGTTGTTCCAAACCTGTATTTTCTTTCTTCTACTGAACACAGAAAAATATATTTTGGTAATTTTTCCATAGTATGGAAAAAAAATACTATGGAAGTCAATGGCTACCGTCAACTGTTTGGTTACCAACATTTGCCAAAATATCTTCTTTTGTGTTCAACATAATAAAAAAAACTCATACAGGTTTGGAACAACATGAGGGTGAGTAAATGATGACAAAATTACCATTTTGGTGAACTATCCCTTTAAAAACCACATTAAAGGGTCAGTTCACCCAAAAATGAAAATTCTGTCATTAATTACTCACCCTCGTGTTGTTCCAAATCCGTAAGACCTTCGTTCATCTTCGGAACACAATTTAAGATATTTCTGACTAAATCTGAGGGCTCTCTGACCCTCCCATAGACAGCAAGGTAACTACCACGTTCAAAGTCCAGAAAAGTACCAAGCTACAAGCTCGCGTCATGATACTGTCGTGAACACGCGTCCACAAATGAAGCAGTAGAGATGAAAATGTGGAATAAAGTCATTATTTTTGTTTTCTTTGCACAAAAAAGTATTCTTGTAGCTTTGTAACTTTACAGTTGAACCACTGATGTCACACGGACTACTTTGTCGATCATCTTGGTACTTTTCTGGACCTTGAACGTGGTAGTTACCTTGCTGTCTATGGGAGGGTCAGAGAGCCCTCATATTTAATCAAAAATATCTTAAATTGTGTTCCGAAGATGAACGAAGGTCTTACGGGTTTCGAACAACACGAGGGTTAGTAATTAATGACAGAATTTTCATCTTTGGGTGAACTAACCCTTTAAAAAAAAATCATCAGACCATGTGACTCAAACTAGACGCAGGAACTAAAGAGCACTGCTAGGGGGCGCTGCAGTTTCTCTACACAGCAAACCCTCAAAACCTTCAGTCACTTGTCACCATACACCATAAAAACCACATGACGGACCCCTAATGAGTGCACTAGTTCACCATACACACGCCCAATTTAGTGACCGCCTGAAGGTTTTGACTGGGTGCCGGCTGTGTTAGTTAACATACCCAACCACAGATTGGGTGGTGAAGAGACAGGACTGAGAAACCTGTAAGCATTGTTTTGATTATGTGCAATATGACCTGTGAGAAAAAACAGATTTCAGGAAAGAGACATGGAATAAAGAAAAAGACAATGAGGAATGAACATCAGAAGAGATGATGAAATGACAAGCGGAAATGTAGTTTGTTATTTTCGGCATCTACACACAAGTAAAAGAACAAACAGAATGACATTAAAAAAGAAAGAAATGAACATGATTTTAGGATGAGAATAAAACAGCAACAAGTAGACTTTTACATTTAAACCGTACACAAAAGGGTGCATTAAACTGATTAAAAGTGACAGTAAATACATTTTTAATGTTACAAAAAAAGCAGTTCTTTTGAAATTTCTATTCATTGAAGAATCCTGAAAAAATGTATCACGGTTTCCGCAGAAATATGAACAAGAACAACTGTTCTCCACATTGATAATAATAAGAAAGTTTCTTGAGCACCAAATCTTATATCAAGATCATATGACACTTTCCTGTTTGCCATCACAAATTACATTTGAAAATATATTAAAATAGAAAAGTTATTTTAAATTGTAATAATGTTTCACAATAGTACTGTTTTCACTTTATTTTTGATCAAACAAATGCAGCCTTATTGAGCACAAGAGACTTCTTTCAAAAACATTTTAAAAAGTCAACGGTACTGTAAACGTAACAATGTATAAAATATCATTTTTACATTTTCTTTAAATAAAAACTCCACAAAGCTAGGATGGTTACTTCAAAGCCAGAATGTGAATGTCCACAGTTTGTGTGAGTCTGGGATTTGTTTAGCTGTTTTAAGTCTTAACACTCAGACAAATACATCTCTCCACACAAAGCCACACAATTTGAGTTATCATCTATGTCTGTAGCACAAACCGTGCAGGACGAGTTACGTGCCAAAGTTGAATTCTTAGGGTTAATGGTTTGTAAATCTTACACAAAGTATGAGCAGTAATAACCATGATGCTTGTCTTAGATGATCAGTACTCAGTCTTACCGATGGAGCCCTTGGCTGCTATGGCAACCGTCTCCAGCAGCACCTGAACGATACCTGCCCTCACACGTGGGGTGTTCTTACTGTGGGTGTCAAGGTGAGACAACACTTGCTGGATCACATGGTGAGAATGCTGGGCCTGACACACACACACACACACACACACACACACACACTTCATTACACATGCTGTAGAAGTGAATTTACTCCCCATTATCATTAAATGCTGCAACGGTCACACAGGATTAACGCAAAGAGATGAAGTGAGAATCTGGTCTCTTTACCTGTATTGAGTACATGATTATCCTGAAACAGGAAACAGCAAAATCATTCGGGTCCCACAGACGATGGTTGTCTAAATGCCTGCAGGAAAATAAAGCTGTTTATTATGACCTCTTATAAGACAACATATTTACTGACAATTCATGGATAGTCATGTATAAGATGTCTTCCTTTCTCTGTGTTTATCAAATATTTAGGATTATTTGATAATGTTTTCAAACCACCAATACTACACCAGTATTGAGTACATGATATTATTATCATTATTATGAATGGAGTGCAATGTGTAATATGATGGAATAAGTCCCACCTTCTAAGGAAAAGAGCCAATCAACAAATGGTAGTCAGTGTCTAGAAATGTGTGCTTGAGACTGCAACCTGGAATATATGCTTTTAATGCTATTTGAGCATAAGAAACAACATTTATGAGTCAGTTAATGCCAGATTTTATAGCAGATATGAAACATGTTATTAAATTTTGAAAACTGCCATATTTAAATATGCTGAATTTACCCTTTTCTAAATAAAAAATTACTGACCAATTTTATGTTAGTAATCTTTGCCCTCCACAATTTTCTCAAACAAGCTTTTAGCATTTTCTAATGTAAATCTATGGAGAATCTGTGTTTGGAGGTTTTTTATTCATTTTATGGAAATTATCTAAAAAAAAAAAAAAAGGTTAAACCGTTGTCATTTATTATAGTGAAGTAGAGATGATACAAGTAGAATTTTTGCATCCTTTTCCAATTTTTCCAAAACACACACACACACACACACGCACGCACACGCACACAACAACAACAACAGCAACAGCAAAAATCATAATTAAAGAGATAGTTCACCCAAAAATAAAAATTTAATCATTATCTACCCGCATTTTGTTTCAAACCTGTATGACTATATTTCTTCTGTGCAACACAAAGAAGATATTTTGAGAAATGTCTCAGTGTTTTTCATCTATAAATTGGTAACCAATGGCCACCAAAACTGTTTGATACCAGCCTTCTTTAAAATATCTTTTAATGTTCTGCCGAAGAAAAAAAGTCATACAGGTTTGGAACTCAAATTCCATAAATAAGCTAGTTTGGAGTCTTTAAAGGCTCATGTGCAACCAGGCGACCACATTCACAGTCTGTGATTTTTATACAGGTGTTTGCAGTCAATTCTTGCACCGCTGTCTGTTACGTCGGACACGGTGCTTCCAACAGCAGCTGTGATGCGGAAAATTGAGCAATCTTTCACCACATCACAAATCCTGTTTCCACACCTTTGTCTCTCCTCTTTTCCGCAGTCTGATCTAAGTCTAAAACCTCTATGCCACCATCGTCTCCCTTCCTGCTGTCACCATGGTAACGTCAGTCTGATCTCACCCCCCATCCGATGCGAGCTATATTTAGAACGCCAGAAATCCACCTCCACCCAAAAAAAGCTCTTGCTGTCTGTCTGTCTGTCTCCCCGAACACCAGCTTTATGTGTTATCAGAGGTACAGATATCTGCCCTTGAGCTCAATGTTCCGTCAAAACCTCACGCAAGTTTAATAAATACAGAGCGCACCGCGCACAGTTTAATTAGGAAAGACCGAGAGAAAAAGCGAGACATGAGAGACGGAGAGATGTGATGGAGAAGGTGAGGCGGTGTGATAAGAGGAAGAGACGCGTTTGAGAGCCCCTTGGCGCTTTGATATTCTCTTTTTACAAACGTCTCATTCAGTACTAATTGGCCAATGACTGAGATGAGCCAAAACAGTCTCATTAATGAGCAGAAAAAAAGTCATACAGGTTTGGAACTCAAATTCCATAAATAAGCTAGTTTGGAGTCTTTAAAGGCTCATGTGCAACCAGGCGACCACATTCACAGTCTGTGATTTTTATACAGGTGTTTGCAGTCAATTCTTGCACCGCTGTCTGTTACGTCGGACACGGTGCTTCCAACAGCAGCTGTGATGCGGAAAATTGAGCAATCTTTCACCACATCACAAATCCTGTTTCCACACCTTTGTCTCTCCTCTTTTCCGCAGTCTGATCTAAGTCTAAAACCTCTATGCCACCATCGTCTCCCTTCCTGCTGTCACCATGGTAACGTCAGTCTGATCTCACCCCCCATCCGATGCGAGCTATATTTAGAACGCCAGAAATCCACCTCCACCCAAAAAAAGCTCTTGCTGTCTGTCTGTCTGTCTCCCCGAACACCAGCTTTATGTGTTATCAGAGGTACAGATATCTGCCCTTGAGCTCAATGTTCCCTCAAAACCTCACGCAAGTTTAATAAATACAGAGCGCACCGCGCACAGTTTAATTAGGAAAGACCGAGAGAAAGAGCGAGACATGAGAGACGGAGAGATGTGATGGAGAAGGTGAGGCGGTGTGATAAGAGGAAGAGACGCGTTTGAGAGCCCCTTGGCGCTTTGATATTCTCTTTTTACAAACGTCTCATTCAGTACTAATTGGCCAATGACTGAGATGAGCCAAAACAGTCTCATTAATGAGCCCTGTGAGTGTCCGCACACACACACACACACACACACACACACACGGAGCATACAGCTGCATGTGTCTGAATAGTGTGCTAATAAGCTGCAGATGGAGACCAGGTCAGAGCAGTCAGACCGAAAACTGTTAATTTACACACGACGCAAAGTCAAAGCAGCTCATCTTCAACTCTGAATCTAAAGTTTCACCTTCAGCTGCCATTAAATTCAGACAGACATACGCATATACAGAGCATTTACTCATTATCTTAAATCAAAGAAATATCTTTGTAATGCTACGGGTTAACACATATGCTTTAATTTGATTGGATAAAGTGGTTTTTCACTGTTAATTATGAAGTGAATGTACATTACCGGTCAAAAATGTATTAGAATAATTAAGATTCTTTAATGTTTTTGAAAGAAGTTTCTTATGCTCACAAAGGCTGTACAACAGTAATGTTGAGAAATATTAGTTCAAATTAAAATAACTGTTTTCTATTTCAATATATTTTGAAATGTAATTAATTCCAGTGATGGTAAAAACTGAATTTTCAACAGCCATCACTCCAGTCTTTAGTGTCACATGATTCTTCAGAAATCATTCTAAATGATTTTGAATGGTGATGTACTGTATACAACAATTTGAATAAATACATTTTCTAAAATTCAAATAAATACATTTTCTCAAACTTTTTTTTGGTGGTTTTATTTCATGAAATTCTGTGTCATAATGATATAGTCATCTTTAAACCATTTACTTGCTTATAAAATGACCAGGAAATGACTTTGATGTTCGTCTAGACTTGCCTGGATGTGCACAGCATGAATCAGGAGAACATTAGTGCTAATGGTGGAAAAAAACCAGCTCTAATATAATGAGATATTCAAGTAATAAGCCACGAGAGGACAGGCTATGGAGACCTTACTATAGTTAAAAGGTGTTAAGCAGGACAGGAAAAGAGTACTGAATTTGACTGATTTTCAGTCACAAGCAGCCCAAAATTCACCTGCAGGTTTCTTTTGATAAAGAGATCTATTAATTTATAATATATAGTTGTACTTTAATATTTAACTGCTAAACTAATTGCAGCCGCATGAGAATAATCAATACTGCATTCATTGCGCACTGTCTACTCGTGTAATATACACTCGAAAAAGGGTTTTTGCTGCTTGTCCAATTTAATTAAAATGAGTTGATACAATTCTTGCACATTTTATCATGCATGCAATTAATTTAAATTTGTAAAATGAAAGTTTGCTTAATCCGTTTGCATTGAGGCGAATAATTTTCACTGATATAACACTGGAAAATTATGGGAGTGTTTTTAATCTAATATCATCTGTCCATGTAGTCTATTTAATTTAGTACTCTGCTAAATTAAAATATGGTTATTTCTTTATTTTTGTAAATAATAAAGGTATTGTTGATGCTGACATTATGAAATACTTTCATTTTTGAAGATGTGAAATCAGAGAAAAAAAAGATGTATGTCAATATTCAGTGTCAGTAGGACTGATATGATGTCAGTGTGCAATCAGAGACACATATTTGCATCTGTAAGCCATTTAACACATAAATCAAGCACAAAACAGCTGGATTCAGATCACAACAATTCCTTTAACACAAAACAGAGCCATCTGGGTGCTGCTTTTATTTTCTGCATGATATTTATGTTGAGACTGAATGAATCCCATCATGCCCACAGCGTGAGAGGAAGCAGACGAGCGGCTGACAGCAGCAGCAGCGTCCGGACACCTGAGCTCGCAGGCTAACACCGCGCTGTGTGTTTGTCTGAAAACATCTGTGTGTCTCTGTGTGTCTCAAAGTGCTCTGGCACCCTTCGCATATGAGTACGCGCTGCATATTTGAGACTACAGCTCATCAAGATCATACAACACCTGATCTATCTATGAACATGTTATCATTGTATTGTCTGCTTTCAGTTTTCTCTTGCAATCTCTGCTCACAAGCAACCCTGAAGAGCGATTAATGGAAACTGACATCCTTGAAAAGCTGAAACGGCCACACATATTTTAGCCTGCGCGTTTGCGTGTGTGTTACAGGGTTAAATGAAATAGCACAGATTTAAAATGGTGCAATACCAATATTTAGCAGATATTTGTACCTGACCTTAACGTGCAGGTATTTAGCTCAGTTGAGCAGTTCAGGCAGTGTGATGTGAAGGATAAAAGTTAATGTTTAAGGGTGAATAATGCATCAATGCATGATTTTAGAATCAAATGCATTGATTATGTAATTTATATTCATTTACCATAACTGCAATAAAACAGTTAGGGCATGTAAAAGCTTTGGTGTGAAGCGTGTGATGATGTGAGAAAGTGACATGCCCATAAATATGCTTCCAAATCACAAAAATAACTATAAAACTAAACTTACTAGTGATGCAACTAAATTAATTTCTAACGAAAATTAAAGATTCCATTTAGCCAAAAAAGAAACCAAAAATAAACCTGAATCAAATATAAACATTTACATTGCACATATATGCAGCGTTTATATAAACTTTTTAATGATATAATTATGTTTCTACTCCAATTAATTGTCGACATATAAACATTTCAATGGTGGCTATAATAAAAAATTTATTAAAATGCGTAATTGTATAAAGGCGCTAATTAATCATAAATGGTATGGTCAATGATTGCGCACATCCAAAACATTTTCAGCCAAATAGCTAAAGCAAAGCCTATCAAAGTGAATCCCATGAAACTGTATGGAGTTTCCATAGCAACAAAAAAAGGGAAGTTATAAAAATAAACTTTCAACTGCAATAGCAACGTCACAATAGCTCGCGGTCTAGATGTGTGCGTTTTTTTGAACAAAATTTTGAAGTCATGGTACCCTGATCACAATGTAATGCTACTACCATGGCAACAAGCCCAGTACAAAAAAAACACAACTTAAAGTCAATGGCTGTTCTTTTTGCTGTAATGAGTGAATCTGCTTGTTAAGTCTGATGTCACGTGTCATCGCTTCCGGGTCCAAACGCTCTATCAGATGTCACAAGAAAATAACAAGTGGTGCTAATCTACGCTCACAATGTGATGGAATACTACTGAAAAATTATAATCCTAACCTTTATCTCCATACCGAAATCACAGACGGCCAGACAGTGATTTATCTTTTATAAATCGTTAAAATATTTGTGTCTGGGATGCCGTGGGCACAGAGACTGCAGTGTACACCGTGAAATGCTTAGCTTATGCTTAACTGTGTAATATGAATAAATAGTGCTCATAAACGGCTGTTGCAATAGTATTCTTAAATGAAACGAGTAGAAGCTTGGACCCGAAATCAGCATTCCTTACATCAAGCGGATAGTGAGTGAACCACTGCTGTTACCATAGTGACAATTCAAACAATAGCACTGGATAATGGTGCCTACAGCACACTGTAGCCATGGCAATGGTACTTACACCAGTACAGGGTGCACGGCGTTGTTCATGTTGCCGTAAGCAGCGCGACCCAGCAACTCTCGAAAGCAACTCTCCGCCAGTGAAGCCGGATTTTCCTCTCCAGCCCTGAGACAGAAACACATAAGTGTAAGTGCAATGTACTAAACTGTCGTTTACAGTGTGTGGTTTCACATTCTGCATTCTGATGTCAAACACACACACAAGTGTATTAAAAGATGCATTAACCTTTTAGGAAGAAACCCAGCCACCTCTCTCTCTCTCTCTCTCTCTCTCTCACAC